TATCTCCCTTTCACCAGCCCTCCATCTAATAACTTATATATGAAGCTTCCATGGCTTCTGTGATTTCAAACACATCAGCTGATGGTAAACTTTCCTTCTACCTTTGAGTCAACTCCAACTCAGTAACTCCCTAATGGGTTTCTGTAGTAGTGAATCTTTACAGGAGATACTCCATCTTTACCCCAAGGAGTGGCAGGTGACTTCAAACCAGTGACCTTTTAAACAGCCTGACACATTACACACTGTATCAAAAGTTAGGGTGGGGTGAAGAAATGATACCATTTGGAACCAGAGGATGTTGAGTGACATCTGTATCGTAAGTAAGTTACAAAATATCTCTGCTGGGGGCTGGGGGGAAGGACTAATACTTAAGCCATAGAGAATTGCTTATGACTCTTTATACAAAACACTTGAAAATGGTACTATACAGGTATTCTCTGCAGAGCTGATTCTGACTCAGTAAGTTTACAGAACTCTCCAGTTTCCAAGACTATAACTCCTATGGAAGCAAACTGTCACATCTTTCTCTCATAGAAAAAGGATCCAAACCACAAAATTTTAGGTTACCAACTGAAGGATTTTATCTACTGCACCACCAGGCTCCTTATACTCTACAGAGAGTCAATCCAATATTGTTGAGTGTGCTCTTATTTCAAGCAGATCCTTCACTGGACTTCCAAGGCTGTATATCTTCACACAAGAAGACTGCTCATTTTTATCCTATAGAAAGGCTGGTTGATTAGAACCACTGACCTTTCATTCAGTAGTTCAACACATAACACACTGTACTCCAAGGGTTCTTTATTTTATAGTTATTACAAAAAGACAAGAAAAAATTTTAATGATTTATATATCTACTTCCCCTAAATATCCAGTCAAAAGAACATATTATAAAGTAGACTCTGGGGGAGTTAGTCTGTATTATGTTGTGCTCCTAAACAAAATGTCACACATCTCTGGTGGTTTACATCTGTCAGCAGAATGGAGAAAGATGAGCGGGCTCCTCTCTTAAGATTTCCAGCCTCAGAAACTTAATGGAGGATGATCACTATGAACTGAAACTAACTCAATGGCAGTGATTTTGGATATTTTGAATATATAAATATAAAATTCAGAAATTATAACCAATAAGAATACAGAAATTACATAGCAACACATTTGAGAATTATTATTTCAGTAGCATGTTATAACAATATTTGATCAATTAATCAAATTCTCCACGCCTGAACTTTTAATATTTCCTCAAGGTAAAGTCTAACAATAGAAGTATTACTTTTCCCCACAAAATTAATTCTCTACCTGTTAAATTTCTTTACCACATAATTAGCAATACTATTTATCTTTGACACTTTACAAACCTATCCTCTATATATCTGTTTTTGTTTCATGCTTTCTTACTTCACATAAGTTGTATGCATTAATTTTTAAAAAGTTCATTTATTCCCAACAAATATAAGTAGATGTAGACTCCAATTTCTTCCTTCTAGTCATAGCTTTGGCCTAAATGTTTATTTCTAATTGTGTTCATTGAAACAAACCTAACAAGGGCACATACCTTCCTATTAACCCTTTTAAGAAGGTGTGGGGTATACATTTTAAGTAAAGATATATCTTGTTAGAAATATTTAAAAGAAATATATCAACTAACTTTAGTCCTAATCATTTTGTCCTTACCTGATTCACTAATGAAGGAACAAACTACAAAATTAGATCTGTTCTTACCAATCATGAGGATAAGCCTTCTAAAAACATTACAGAATGTTTTTAGGAAACATATAGAATGTTTCATTTATGTGAACAACAGAAATAGGAATCATGATAAGGCAATTGATGTTAAGGCCCTATACATTTTTTAGATGTTTTGGAGAGCAGTAATAACAACAATAATATAATGCAACAACAACAATTAGTAAAATAAAAATAGTAAGAATACCACTGAGCATTTTCTGATATTTTTATTAAATGGTAATAAAATTAATTATTTCTCATTTAGCATTCCTTGATAACCACCTTTTCTATAATATTGAAGTTAACATGCAACTTAAATGGCATATTTTCTTTGATCTTTTGGTGCCCTTCTGATTTTATGATCCTGGCCACTTATTGTTGAGTACTTGGAGTCAATCTTTTCCTACTGCAAACAGTGTTACACAAAATAAACAAGTGGGATAACCTGTTTTCTGTCTCTTTAGATTGTGATTTTTAAAAAAAAAAATAAATCTAAGTGATATTTTAAAATTCATTTCAAACATTTCCTAACCCTTTACTTTACCCAGAATTCCCATTATGGTGATACAGTATTAGATAAAGAACTGCACATGTATCAAATGGCATGTTTAAATTTATTTTGTGTAACACTGCTCATCCTTCTCCTGCAGAACAGGCTGGTGGATTTGAACTATATACCTTTGGAATTGCAGTGCACCTTCTTACCTCAGGCCACCACAGCTGAATACACGTTTTTCTCTTTTAGCATCAAAGATACCCTATTAGGTTAATTTGAAAAATTTCTTAGGGATGAATTCCTAGAGAAAGACCCTAAACTAGATCAACTGACACAGTGACCACAATGAAGGACTTAAGCATGTCAGAGATCGTGAAGATGGCACAGGACAGAGCTTTGTTCTTAGATACTCTTTACAACGTTCCTATGAGCTATAGTTGATTAGATGGCATATAACAACAGCAAACATAATATTCATTTTAAAATGTGTGCATAGGGGTGGTAAGAAAATAAAGAGATATCAGAGATTATTGCGTATGAGAGGAAGGAAGAGAAGAAAGTGAAAAAAGAAAAGAGTACCATAAATTTTAAATAAAACAACTAATAATTTTCACCTACAAATTAAAACCAAGATATTGTCTTCCTTATTTTCAATGTTTACAATTGAAAATTTATTTATCCGATAATTGCACTGTTGTTATGTACCATCAAGTCAAAACCGACTCATTGCTGATCCTTTGGGGGGTGCTGATTCAGAGGCAATAACTTGCCTCTGAGGAGATTGCTCCTCTTTCTCCCAAATATAATGACTTACATAACATAATGACTTTGAACAGAAAGCACAGAATTCTATTCAATTAAGATATCAACAATATAAGTCAACTTATTTTAGTAAAAAAAAATAATACTGAAAGTACTTTTCCTCACTGAAAAAAAAACACCTAATTATAAAGCTTTAAATACAGTGCTCATGAAATGACTATATATGTGAAAAATAATATAGTGAACTATATGCTTCAAATTTTACATTTCCAAGATTTATCAACTGCTTTTAAATTATATATCTTTATGTATTTTTCCTATGTAGTAATCCAAAACCTAAAAGTCAAGTCTATTAATACCGAGTCAATTCTGACTCACAGTGATCTTTCGAAGACCAAGAAAAACTACCCTCATAGAGTTTTCAAGGTTGTAATCTTTAAAAAAGCAGACTACCACACCTTTTCCCCATAGAGGGGCTGGTGGTTTGAACAGCTGATCTTTTGATTAGCAGCCTAATGCTAAACCATTAAGACACCAAAGATCCTTTCTAGCCATTTAAATGCTCACAATTAAAAAAAAATTTATTTTTCAAGCTACCAGATGGTAGGTAAAAGTAGTTTGATCTAGTTGGTGCACTTAAAATAACGGGGGGGGGGACCCTAAAAAACCCTGAGATAATAAGTTCCTACATGCTTATTTCCATAACTATTATAGAAGTTCACTTAAGAAAATGGTCTTATAAAGTTTCAATGTTCAATACTAGTTCACTTCCACAAAAACCTTGAATTGAATAATATGACTCCAATGATATAATTTCAAGTTTTCCAAGAGAAAGAGAAAATGTCTTCTTCAACATTAGTTGTATCACTTTTGGGAAATCTTAGTGTTTACTGTATTTGAAAGTCTGGTATATAATCCCACTAGGAAAAGACATGAAACCTGAGTCAAATAGCTAAACACTATTTTAGCCATTAAAACTTTGATTTATCACAAAAAAATCCTTTTTATTCTACAAAATGCTCTCTACATTGCTCTGATCTAATCAGATGCTTTTATAAGAGAACTGTTAGTATAAACAAGGGACTGCCAGACAATATAACTTTTAAAATTATCTAGCTTCTACCAACTTAATTGGGAAAATGCTACAGAAGGTAGAAAACCCCCCATGCTGTAATGGGACTATCTAATATCCTACAACCATGAAAAAATATCCCTTTTCCATGTAGTTCTGTCTGTATTATCAGTATAATTACTCAAGAATTGCCGTAAACCTTTTAAAATGTAACATTATCTATCCTTCTCAACACTGACTGAAAAAAGAAGTCCTATTGTCAGCTGGTTTAGATATGAGCAGTTCATTACCAAAAAGGGTTTTTAAGTTTATTCATTATACTTCTTATCATTATCAAGAGCAATCTGCTGCCATGAGTAATTAAAGAACCTCTGAGAGCCTTTTCTAACTTGAGGAATGATTACACACACATATATAAATGACATTTACCTTGCAGACAGCTTTCTGTAGTGAAACTAAAGCACCCTTCCAATCAAAAGAAAATGTGGCATCAGTGAAAGTCTATTTTAGGCTTGAAGTAGAAGTTCACTGATAAATCACTTTATAATCAAGTTCCTAGTGACTCTTTGTTAGTAATTAAGTCATTCAGGACCTACTATAAAGCAGGCGTAAAGTCAATCACCAAATTTTCTCAAAGTTTATACTGTTCTTCAATGATGATATTAGAGATAATTCAGTTAATTCCAGCATTTGAGATTGGGAAGAGTGGTCACATTCTTACTTTATGACTTATTATTTTTGCTTTTATTGTGAATATATACAGCAAAAACACAAAAGCAATTCATTTCCTACATGCACAACTTAGTGGACTGATTATATATTGTTAGGCAAGCATTCTCACTCTTCTTTTCTTCTGTTTTCCAAATACTGAATAAATGTCTCAAGTTCACTCCATAGTGGCATTGCTGTGTGCTACTGAAGGAGATCAGGACAGGGAAGATAAAGCTGGAAGACTAAAGTAAGCTCTCCGTGCAGTGTTTGTGGATGCTGCAAATGGATATTGTGCTCAGCTGCAAACTGAAAGACACTAAGTTCAGGGTAGCCTAGAGCTACCTTCAAAGAAGCAATACCACTATGACGACTATTTATTTTCAGATCTTGGGATAAAGAAAAAAAAATATATATATTCAGCACATACCTGTCGCTAACAAGCAAACTAAGAGATAAGCTTTGTTTAATGGTTTGGGTGTACATATTGTGGTGGTAATAAGAGCAGGGTGTCCCAGAACAGGCAAGAAAGAAGGGTCACTATTTGAAAGAATTGTAGAGAATTAAAAAATAATAATATCAACTGTCAAATTCTTTTTAGTAATCATTACATGTGGTGGTGTTAGGTGAACTCTGTCCTATTCTGTGCCATCTTCACATCCCTAGCATACTTGAGACCACTGCTGCAGTCATCATGTCAATCAATCTCATTGAGGGTCTTTCTTGCTTTTACTGACCGTCCACCTATCAAAACGTGATGTCCCTTTTCAAGGAATGGCCGCTTCTAACAACATGGCCAAAGTAGTAGAGAAGAAATTTCACTATTTTGCCTCTAGGGAGCACTCTGGCTACACTTTCTCCAAGACATATGCATTTGTTCTTTTGGCAGTCTATGGGATACCCAGTACTCTACCTCAACATCACAACTTAAGAGGCACAGATTATTCTGTCATCAAATTCATTGTCTCAGATAAATAGCAAGATCTCAGATGAAAAGCAAGTGATGGAAAGATCATGGTTTTAAACAGGCACACGAGGTCCTTGACAGCAAACTTGCCCAATGTACTATGTCTCCTGATCACCTGATTGATGTTACCAAGGATGTTGATTGTGGATCAAAGTAAGATGAACTGGTTGACAATTTTAATCTTTTCTCTACCTATTATGATGTTGCCTATGGCTCAAAGGTGAATTATTTTTCTTTCTTTACATAAGATCAATAAGATCTTATGAAAAAAAAAAGATCTTATGTTCAAAGTTAGTTGTTTTATAATTGTAAAAATGGAACGATAACTCTTAAAACATGTATGGGAACTCAAGGAGCAGAGGGCTGAAGATGGGTATTGTTGAAACTACAGGGTGGCAGAGTTTGGTGGGGAATGGAGGGAAGGAAATGGGAAGGATCCAGGCAAAAAGGACAATGATCAGCAAGGTCAAATGGTGATTAATTTTATAAAACATAATGCATGAGAATGACTGTATGAAACACAACATGAATGAAGACTAATATGAAGCGCAACGTATATGAACTATGTGAGCAAATGAATAGTAGTAGTAGTAATAATAATAATAATAATAATTAATAATGATAATAAAAGTAATACAGAAAAGAAACTAAGCCCCATAGAAATACTACTTATATTCAGGGACAATATTATAGTGAGAACACTGTCAGTGTTCACTGGAACATTTACATGCTTTGTTTCGCTTCACATTAAATGCACTTTCTTTATAGATTCACTTGTGTTCTTACCTGAAAGGAAAGCTGTTCTATCAAACAAAAAGTTAAAGGTGATACTTTTCACACAGAGTCCTTTTGGAACCATAAAACAACAAAAAGGGATGCAAAACTCATCTAGACAACTTCAAAAGAAAGTTTGAAACGGATTGCTAACCAAGTTAGTCACTGCTCTTCTGAAGGCTGAAACTAGATGCTATTGGTAGGTTCCAACTACTTTTTTACATTGGATCAGCAGCTGTCACCTCTCACTGAGATTCAAAAAAAGAGAGAAAAAAAGCCAAATTTACTTCATTTAATAGTTTATGTATATTAGTATTAGTATTAGTGATGAAAGAAGACGTTCAGGCTGCTTCGAAGGAAATGGCAAAAAATAAGGCTCCAGGAATAGATAGTATACCAATTGACATATTTCAGTTAAGAGATGGTGCCCTGGACGTGCTCACCAAGTTGTGCCAAGAAATCTGCAGAACGACCACTTGGCCAACTGACTGGAAGAGATCGATACTTGTTCCTATCCCAAAGAAAGGTGACCCAACAGAATGTGGAAACTACAGAACAATCTCACTGATTTCACATGCAAGCAAAATTTTACTGAAGATTATCCAAAAACGACTGGAACACCACATCAACAGAGAACTACCAGAAGTCCAGGCTGGGTTTAGAAGGGGTTGTGGTACTAGGGATATTGTAGCTGATGTAAGATGAATCTTGGCTGAAAGCAGGGAATACCAGAGGAATGTTTATCTGTGTTTCATTGACTATGCAACGGCATTTGACTGTGTAGATCATAACAAACTATGGCTGACTCTGAGAAGAATGGGAATCCCAGAATACTTGATCATTCTAATGCAAAACTTATACTTGGACCAGGAGGCAGTCGTCAGAACAGAGCAAGGGAACACGGCATGAGTCAAAATTGGGAAGGGCGTACGCCAGGAATGCATCCTATTTCCATACCTTTTCAACCTATATGCAGAAC